GGAAACAGGAGAGCAGAAGAGAGCCCAGAGGAGGTGTGGGTTGTGCTCTCTCCCCATCCAGGTCCTCCTGCCAGTGCAGTGCTCCTGCATTGGGACTGTTAGTTCGGGACTGTGCAGGGTTTCCTTACCTGACCCCATCTCTTCTCAGCAAACAGGAGATGGGAGCGAGTAAGGAAACCCTTCCCACCCCCTCCAGAAATCTATAGTTAGATGCCTTTTTGCTCTATATATGAGAATTATTGTAATCCCTTCCTCTTCTGAATTGAGGAGCCCTATGCAGGGCCAGGACAATAGGAGGGCAGGAGGGGTGGCTGCCCTGGTTACTGTGGTTACATGTGAGGGGGGAGTCGCTTAGAGCATTCCTGCCACTATAAGCTGACAGTAGTGACAGCAGCATCACTACTCCTGTCGCAGGAAGTGATGTGGAAACAGGAGAGCAGAAGAGAGCCCAGAGGAGGTGTGGGTTGTGCTCTCTCCCCATCCAGGTCCTCCTGCCAGTGCAGTGCTCCTGCATTGGGACTGTCAGTTCGGGACTGTGCAGGGTTTCCTTACCTGACCCCATCTCTTCTCTGCAGAGGAGATGGGAGCGAGTAAGGAAACCCTTGGGGTCAGAGATCTGTGGCAGGAGGGGGGACTTCAGCAGGGGGGACTTGTACTGGGAGGAGGTATGAAATTTTGTTTGGAGAGAATTTTGACTTGCAAGGGGAATATATGCTTAGGGGGTTAGCGTACAGATTATTGTGTTTTGTTTTTGTTTTTTTTTGGGGGGGGGGAATTTTTACTGACTTATAATGCTCATTCATCATGGTGGGGGGCACAGTTTGGCATCTTTGCCCTGGGCAATAGATGATCTTTTCCTGGCACTGACCCCATGCAAATGCAAATATAATGTGAAGGGCACCTAAATCAAATTTGTATCTTTGTAAATCGTAGCTGCTGTCTGAGCAGCCCCCAGGCCTCACATCAGCTAGAACCTCATATCTGGGTTATCTTTTCTACAACTTTGGTGGCTTAGCATTCACAGATTCCATGGAGTCAACTTTATATTAATATTGTTGAGAGGATCTGTATAGTCAGCACAGTGTGAAATATAGGAAGCGATTATTTGGAGAATTAGCGTGATGTGTAATGAACAGTTATATGGAGAAATAGGAGACGTTATGGTCATTTTTTTGCAGCAGTGGGAGGAAGTTGTCATACAGTAAGGAGGAGATCTATGAAGCTTCATTACAGTGATAGAAAGTGTCATCGCAGCACCATAAACAGTGAGAAATATAATCGGATGTCTGGAATTGTCTTCATTGGCATTTATCAGCGAGCAGATGCAGTTATGGCATATATGATATTACAGAGTTAATTATTTCTAGAGCTCTAAATAGTTTTTAAAAGCCTTTCAACTAGCTTCATCAGCACAGCAAGGTGAATGTTGCAAATAGCTCATATCAACCAATCAGAATTTAGTTTTTACAATTTTGTCTACAGTAAGCTGAAATTAATTGGTTGCTGTAATGTCATACTTTTAAACATCATTATTTCCCTCTGCATTGCCAATACACCGACAGAGTCCTAAAGTACAACTAAAGACTCCTTTATGACAGTCTTAACAAGTATCAATTCCACTTACAATGTGATGTACAACTGTTACTAAGCAAAAAAATATCCGTTTTACCTTCTCTGACTGAGCCAAATCCTCCATTTGTGTCTCACATGCTACCCCTCCCCAGGCACTGCAGATCACAGTGGGAAGGTTCAAGCAACAGAGGCAGAGCTGTCAATCCAGAAAGCAGTAGGTGGGTCTAGGTGTGGTGAGGTGCTGATTGGCAAGCCACTGATTTCTTTCACTGTAGTGCAAGCAAAGCAGGCACAGCCTAAATGATAGTGGCAACTCTGCTCTGAACGCAGGAGCAGTGCAGCATAGTTGCCACACCATCACTGGAATTTGCATACAGTGGAATTCACTGGCAGGATCAACAGGTATTTGTATGATTTTCTAGGGAGTCTAATTAAAAACTGAAACTATAAATGCTCTCAGAATTGCTGTGGAACATTTTTTCAATAGGAGGCCATAGTTCTACCTTGCATACAAAGCAATGAAGTATATAAAATACCATTACATTATTTACGTTTTGGATCGAGAGGGGGAACAGGTTAGAACCTCTGTCTGGTTTTCACGAAAGAGAGTAGAGATGCTGGATCCAAGAATAGATTGACCTCACAGTCAAGGCATCCATTGTTTTGAAGGAAAAAGGCTTGGTTTGGTGGCTCATGGGGACAAAGGGACTTCTAGGCCATTCCTCAGGTGAACTTTAATATGTGTACTGGACGAAACAAGAACACCAGACCAATTGTGAAGACGTCATCAAGAGGTTATTTCCTGTTTGATGTTTTGTGATGAAATAAACTCTGCATGGTCTCCCAGTTCTCCTCCCCAGCACAGGCTCTTCAGCCTTCTTCATTGGTTGCCATGGGATGAAGTTCATTTATCCCAGCACCAAGTCACTGTGCACAGAAAATGCACTGTCCAAGAAAGTGGATGTTAGACACTGGACTTGGATCTTTTGTCTGCCAAGACGGGTAGTGTTGGTTGGGCTTGATGGCAAGACCTCTGCATTTCTATTACAAAACATAGGCCCTTCTAAGGGGCAGACTTCCAAAATTGAGAAATCCAAATGAAGTAGAGAAAAAAGTGCCAGATGGTCATTTTAGTCCATGGTCAAGGATTGTTGGCCTCCAAAACACTTTGTCTACCTTTTTATCTTCTTTTATTACTATATTCATTAATATTATTACATTATGTTTATGGGCTCTGAAAACGAGAATATACACTGAGATGCTCAAATGCAGCTCAGTGTATTTTCTGAAGAAAACTTAGAACAATCCAGTAAATTTGTTTTATTGCAGAAGGAATGTAGAATGAAGCGTGATCCAGCTCCCCTGTATCAGCCAGCGGTAGCTGCAGGGGTGAGGGAGTGCTGACAATGACTGGAACATGGAAGCCTACAAATGAGGTCACCACTCCCCCGGAATTCCCAGCCATTTGTGGTCATTCCTTCCTCTCCCCTGCAGCTGCTTTTTAAACCTAACTAGTCTTAGAAATGTCTCTGGAGCAGGCTGAAAACAGGTAAGTATATACACCTTTTTTACACAGGTTAGTCAGTCAGTGTTGGGGGGGGGGGGGGGGGGGGGGGCATTAGTTAGGTTTAGGCTGGAGTTCTGCTTTAATAAAGGCAATGGCTTTTTATTCCCTGTACTGCTCATCTGGAAAAGCAAATCCTGTCCTTGATTGAGGACCCTAGACCTTTCTTGTTAATGGGGATGAGAAATATTTATGAAAAAATGTGATGTTTACTTAAAAATGCTAAGAGAAATATGCCAATGTACACGCTTGTCACTGTGAATTATACATTAGTGATCTTTGCTCCATTGCAATGTTGGGAAGAAGACGTGATGTTAACCACAGAATCACGTTTTCTGAGTGCAGACATACTAGAGAATTCAGGAGGTTGCAGAGGGCATTGAGTACATTATTTACGTACAGTTATATACACGGCCTGGTCTGTAGTTTGTCCGGAGCACACCAGTACCTGTACCTTGGTAGTACAGAGGTCAGAGGATGCTGACGTTGGTTCTTTCATTATGAAAGGCATATATGTCTTTTGGTTTAGGATCTACTGCGGTGCTTTGTGTGTCTGCGCGGTATGCTTGTTACCATGGCAGCACTAGGGGTTAGGTTGGAGCAAAGTTCAGTTTGACGCTTACTACGCATATTTACCCTCTCAGAACATCACTACAAGCGGCGCCAACCTCTCCCACTAGGTAATGTCATGTAGTTGTCTTGGCATTTTCCATATACAAGGCCCACTGATAAAAAACATAAGGCCCCATGACGGTTTCCTAAAATACACTAAAGCCTTCATAACTAAAAAAGGATTTTATAGACCTTTTTTGCTGCAAAGTATCAGGGATACTAAAAAAGAAATTCAAGAGCTGCCAATAACATTTACAGCTACATGGCTGTTTGATAACAGAGGGCAGAAATTGATATACTGAATACCACAGCCTGCATTTCTGGCCCATTCATAAAATGTAGACCGTGGTGAGCAGCTTGCGGTGCTTCACACATGTAATAGTGCCATGTATGTGACTTTGACAGATCATGTGGCTGTAAAAATAACATTGCGCTGGTTCAAAAAGAAAACTAAATTCTGATACAAAAAATAAGTAGCATGGAATGAAAAAACTTCCCATAGTGTAAAATCAATTAAAAATGTAATTGAACCAAAAAAAAACGCACTTTCATGAATTAAAATCAATTACAGCGCTGTTATCCAAAAAAATCTGCTTGTTCCCACTTCCAAGATGGCTGCGAGCATGCACGTGTGTGTGGTAATGTATGCCCAAAGCTCCCTACTGACGCGTTTCGTCACAAATGTCATCAGGGATGCTTTCTCATTCCATGCACAATCTACTTATATGCCTGACAACGCATGCACTGATGATCCATACGGAGTGGGTGAACGCCATCTGAACCATAATTGGAGGTTATGGAGGAGACTGGAGCGGTTGCCATATGATTGTTCTTTGTGCGCATTTTGATCACTCTATAATATGATGGTCAAACATATCTGGTAAGCCTTCTTTGAGCACGGAGTGGGGTGACACGTGTTTTGATAATGTTTGATCAACTAGCAATTGAAGATCCATCACTGCACTTTAGGATATTTTTTGTTGCTCTTTTGGTATTGGGGACTTACAATTTTTCACTTTCTTTTCTTATTTCCATTTATTTGCAAGTGTTGTCACTTTTAGTTTCACTTATGTTTAGTCAATGATATCAGATTGTTTTTTGCACTTTTAGCGCCACACTTATATTTATAGATCATGTGATTGGCCTTTCCCCCTGCCTCCCCCCCTCCTCCATTGGAATTAAGTTATTATTCTGGACAATGAAATGAATTGAATGCCCAAGCGTTTGACATGCCTAAACTTGTCTAGAACTCACAAGACTGCTCTAACTGCTGATGAGAAAAGGTATTTAGCAGCTTATATTTACTAAAATAATTGCATTTCCATGTTCTGTGTACTGTGGGAGACCAGATATAGTGAATGCAGGGTCCTGGGAGGCCAGATATGGTGAATGCAGGGTACGGGGAGACCAGATATAGTGAATGCAGGGTCCGGGGAGACCAGATATAGTGAATGCAGGGTCTGGGGAGACCAGATATAGTGAATGCAGGGTCCGGGGGAGACCAGATATAGTGAATGCAGGGTCCGGGGAGACCAGATATAGTGAATGCAGGGTCTGGGGAGACCAGATATAGTGAATGCAGGGTCCAGGGAGACCATATATAGTGAATGCAGGGTCCGGGGAGACCATATATAGTGAATGCAGGGTCCGGGGAGACCTGATATAGTGAATGCGGGGTCTGGGGAGACTGGATATAGTGAATGCAGAGTCCGGGGAGACCGGATATAGTGAATGCAGGGTCCGGGGAGACCATACATAGTGAATGCGGGGTCCGGGGAGACCATATATAGTGAATGCGGGGTCCGGGGAGACCATATATAGTGAATGCGGGGTCCGGGGAGACCGGATATAGTGAATGCAGGGTCCAGGGAGACTGGATATAGTGGCTGCAGGGTCCGGGGAGACCGGATATAGTGGCTGCAGGGTTCGGGGAGACCAGATATAGTGAATGCAGGGTCCGGGGGGACCGGGGGATATAGTGGATGCAGAGTCCGGGGAGACCAAATATAGTGAATGCAGGGTCCTGGGTGTAGTAACACTTTAATGCTTGACATATTTAGATTTTTTTTCCCTCATCTTGTATATTTGAACAATAAAAATGAGCATTGCATAGGGCTTGATATTCTAAAACTGGAGAATGCAAAATATGGTGCAGCTCTGCATAGAAACCAATCAGCTTATAGTTTTTTGTTTTTTTTGTCAAAGCTTAATTGAACAAGCTGAAGCTCGCTGGCTACCATGTACAGCTGCACCAGATTTTGCACTCTTCGGTTTTAGTTAATCATCCCCCATTGTGTTTGCTTACGCAAAAATTCATATGAATGTATTTGTTACTAAAACTATAGGTTTTATATACGGTAGCACAATTCTTGTATGACATAAAATATTGCAGCAGCTATCATTATATTTTACAGGGTCTCTGCGTTCAATAAAATGAACGAGGGTAAAAAGAACTTTTTCTTTAAACCCCACAAAACATATATTTTGTGGGGTTTAAAGAAAAAGTTCTTTTTACCCTCGTTCATTTTATTGGATTTCAGATGTGCATATATCTATGCAATTTGAGCAAGAGGAAATAGTCTGGTACACGTTCACAGCATGTCCACTGTATAGCTGAAAAATGTAGAAAGTGTTTTTATTTTTTTTTTTATTACTCCTCCTGCGGCTGCCCGACAACGCAGCTGGCAAGGAGATGGTTGCATTAATAGCTGACACTTCTATCTGGCTACAAGCACTTTCTTGAGACAAGCGATGGTATTAGGAATGCGGAGGGGTAGAGGGGATTTGGGTTTTTCTTCAGGAAAGTCTCTGGAGCAAGATCTAGGTGCAAGCTATCAATGCAGCTGCGTTGTTAAATGGCCTTGGGAGGAGGAGATGAATTCCTGTCTGACCACATAGCTAGCCTTCCACAGCATGCAAGGAGATGGGGCAAAGTACTACAGAACATTTGTTATATAAAAAAAGAAAAGAAAGAAATGATACTTCTTTAAATTAATTCCACTTTTGTTGTGAAAAAAACAATCTCCTCTGAGTGGTCAATGTACATTGCAGGGATTTTAACAAACCTTGGAGCAAGTTCCTACCTTTTGGTCTGTGTATTTCCCCATGTGTTTTTGCAGAGTGATTAGGAATGGGAGTGTCTGGTTCATTATAATCACCTGGTGTACTCTGTGTTCTAATGAGAACAGCTGCAGGGTCTGCATCCCTTTAGAAGTGTTAAACTCTTGGTGAGTGTCTCTGCAAAGCTGAAATTCCTAATGCAGGTGGTGCCCAAAATTTGATTTTCATATCAGTGCAGACTTGTGGGAAAATCAGTAATACAAGACCACAAGCAGGAAAAGGCATACAGAATCTGGGAGCGTTCTGTACACAATGATCTTGGTCAGATTGAGCTGTTTTTCTGGTTTAGCAACTGTGGAACCATAAAGCCCAGCAGTTCCTGCCAGCTACATTGTGCCTATCCGCTGTGCTGCAGCAGCAGTTCACCTTTGAACTCCTCTCCCGCCCCAACCCCCCCAACATAGAATGGAGGGAGCTGTCCGCACTCAGCGCAGTGCTGAACACTGAGCGGCACAGTTATGTCATGTTCTCTCAAGGTTCAGGGAACAATTCTGTGCAAAGTGATATCCATCACATTCATGCTGCGGCTGTTTGTGTAATTGTGCTACTCTGTTCAGCTTCCAAGGCTGTATTCATGCAAGTTATTCTCAATGACATAATTAAATGAATCTGCTCTTGTATTGTAGCTGCTGAATTCAGTGGGATATAATGGTGGAACACAGAGTTTGCAGTAAGCATTTGGCATCTGTCTTTATTGTAGTTCTAGAAAAAAAGCCTATAGCTTCATCGTCATTGGGGAAAGGTCTGCCGCCCCACCAAGAATGGACTACAACCCTCAGCAGACACCTACAGGCCTATAGCTACTGCTGCAAAAATGGGACCATTTTTTTAATGGTAAAATTCATCTCAGCATAATCATCTGTAAAGGTTTCATTGTGTAATTTGATTACAGCTCGTTCCATAGTAATCTGCGCTGGCTGTTCAATCTCAGCTGCATTCACTAGCAAATAAGCAATAGATACGAGAACTGGTTGACTGGTGGGGAGCAGGATTTTTGCTCTTTGCAAAATAGTATCCCCCCTTCTCTCTTTTTTCCCACCCTGTCCCTCTCTCCTCTCTTTCTCATTCCCTACACTTGCTCTCTTTTTCCCTCTCTCTCCCCACCCTTTCCATCTCTTTCCTTCTCCCCCCAGCTATTCTCTCTCCCTCTCTCTCACTCTTTCCTTTTCTCCCCCTCTCTCTTTCCCCCTCTCTTCTCTCCCCACCTTTTCTCTCTTCCCTCCCTCCCCACAACTTTGCTCCCCCTCTCTCATCCAACCTCTCTCTCTTCCAACCTCTCTCTCCCGCCTTTCTCTCCCTCTCCCCCCCCCCCCCCTGTTCTCTACATCTTTACCCCCCCCCCCTCTCTCCTTCTTCACCCTTTCTCTCTCCCTCCTCACCCTTTCTCTCTCTCTTTCTCTCTCCCTCCCCACCATTTCTCTCCCTCCCTTTCTCTAACCCTCACTCTCCCCCCCCAACCCCCCCCCCCTCTCTCTCTCTCTCTCTCTCTCCTCTCTCTCTCTCTCTCTCTCTCACCACCTACTCTTCCTCACAGTTTTTCTCTCTCCCTCCCCCCCTACCCTTCGTCTCTCCCCCTTTTTCTCTTTTCCCCCTCCCACCTTTTCTCTCTCTCTCCCTCCCCTCACCTTTTCTCTCCTTCTCTCTCCCCCCAGCTTTTCTCTCCTTCTCTCCCCCCCCCGCCCTTTCTCTCCTTCTCTCCCCCCCCCCGCCCTTTCTCTCTCTCTCTCTCCCCCCCCCCACCCTTTCTCTCCTTCTCTCTCCTTGCATCCTTTCTCTCCTTCTCTCCCCCCCGCCCTTTCTCTATCTACCCCCCTTTCTCTATCTCCCCACCCTTTCTCTCTCTTCCCCACCCTTTCTCTCTCTTCCCACCCTTTCTCTCTCTCCCCCCCTCCCTTTCTCTCTCTCTCCCCCCACCCTTTCTCTCTCTCTCCCCCACCCTTTCTCTCTCTCTCCCCCCACCCTTTCTCTCTCTCTCTCCCCCCCACCCTTTCTCTCTCTCTCCCCCCCCACCCTTTCTCTCTCCCCCACCCTTTCTCTCTCCCTCACCCTTTCTCTCTCTCTCTCTCCCCCCCCCCTTTCTTTCCCCCCCACCCTTTCTCTCTCTCCCCCCACCCTTTCTCTCTCTCTCTCCCCCTCACCCTTTCTCTCTCTCTCCCCTCACCCTTTCTCTCTCTCTCTCCCCCACCCTTTCTCTCTCTCTCCCCCCCCACCCTTTCTCTCTCTCCCCCCCACCCTTTATCTCTCTCTCTCGTCCTTTCTCCCCCACCCTTTCTCTCTCCCCACCCTTTCTCTCTCCCCCACCCTTTCTCTCTCCCCCACCCTTTCTCTCTCCCCCCACCCTTTCTCTCTCTCCCTCCCTCCCCCCCGTCACCCTTTCTCTTTCTCTCTCTCTCTCCCCACACTTTCTCTCCCTCTCTCTCTCCCCCACACTTTCTCTCCCTCTCTCTCTCTCCCCCACCATTTCTCTCTCTCTCCCCTAACTATCTTATTCTCCCCACCCACTCAGTCTCCATTCTGTCTTTGCATTTTACACCTCTGGAAGGAGGTCTCTTTTCCGTAATGGTTTTAGTAAGGTAAATCTCAGTACAAGTATCACCAACACAAAGTCATTTCACCCATGTTGAACTAGCAAGCGCCCACCTTTGTTCACAATGCAGCATAGCAGCTGCTCAGCACACGACCCAGGAGCTGGTGGCGATCACTGTGGTAGCGGTGTCTACTACAGCGATAGCTGGAACACTAGCTATGTAAAAATTGCCATACCTGAAATTCAGCTATAACCAAACCCTTGAATGTCTCCCTAATCCTTATATTGTAACAAACAAATTCTGAGATTGTAACCGAAAAAAATATCTTTATGTAAAGAAACGGTCTTGCCAAAAACGCAGAAACTCTATGCGTGGAGTATACGTCCCTTTGTGCATTTGGCCCTGTACGTGAGTACCACTTGGAACAGCAAACAGCTGCCACGTGTTGCAGCTTGTCATTGATTTTGACAGTCTGTTGGCTGCATATGTGCTGCCCAGGCACCCAAAAATACCCAGTTTATGCTCTCTAAGGGCAAATACTCCTGCATGCATGAGGCCAAACCAGCTTTTCCTTCGATAAAAAGCATTGCAACCTGACATTTGTGACAGTGTATTCCTTTTCCCCCTTTGCCTTTCTCCCATAGTCTGTCTCATCTCTCTACTCCTCTTCTCCCTCCCTCCCTCTCTCTTTCCATCTCTCTGTCTCTGTTTTTTCTTCGGTTGCTTCCCTTCCCCCTTCTCATTCTCAGTCTCTCTCGCTCTATCTTGCCAGCTGCGCTTGCCATGCTGAGTGCTCTCTGGCATGTAATTTACTGTGGGTAAAGTTACAATCACTCCGCACTTCAGTCAGATTTGGGCTGATTTCCTTATTTCTTGAAAGTGTTTGGATGGAGGCCAGGTGCGCGGCATCCCAGAAGAGGCGCGTCCTGTGTACCGCTCTGCCTGTGTGTCATTGTGGAAGCCTATGTGTTATGAGATTTTCTTTTTGCTGCTTTTGCTCTTTTATTTGGAAGTGTCTTTTTTTACGCTTGCTTGTGGCTTTTAAACATGAAACGGGAATGGGTGTTGACTTCACAAAAGAACATGGCTGCTGGCCTTGTGATCTCATTGTTGGCAATTAATAAAAGAAGAGCGCCGGTTTGATGCTTTAGTGATCCTTCCGTTATCAACTGGCTGGCTTGGATGGGAAAGACCACATGGGGCTATAGCAGCAACATTTAAAGAGCATCTGTATTCGGATGTTAACATAAATCTAAATACAAGAAAACTACTTAA